TTGATTCAGAGTCCTAAAATTGTTTGGAGGGGGGGGGGCCGTACACACTAAACAGGGTCCAACATTAAAGGAGAAAACCCAAAACCCTGGACCCCAACCCTAACAGCTCAAAGAGCACTTCTGTCCTGCACTGCGCATGCAGCAAGATTGGTTGCTGAGCAGCCGCTGGCAATCGATGCATCCGTTGGCCCGAAAGTGACCTCTGCTCGTGCTTGGGGCTCAGGATATACCACTATGGGCTATTAGACCCTAAAATTCCCTATTAGGACCCTATTAAGGGTAGATTAAGGTACCCTTAAGGTCTAATAGCCCATAGTGGTAATGAATCCAGTGAAGGGAAGAATCCTCCCCACCAACCCCCGGCCTCCCCTTATGATGATTTTTCCTTGAATTTCGTCATGGCACTAAATTAGGGGTACCTATCGTTCGGAGGGGAGAGAGAATACAAGCAGAGAGGTTTACAGAGTTTAGGATTGTCACGCTGAAAAATACTTTGAATGAGGATCCTCGGAGAATGACAAAGTCCTGTATATTCACCTGCAGATGTTAGGCCCGCACTTCCAAAGGGGCCCCAAAACAGCCATCAAAGGCCTTAGCGCAATGACAGTCTTGAGAATACAAAAAACAGTTACCAGTTTTGTCCGAGCATGTCTTCGGGTTGGTTACACAGCATATCTGCGCAGCGTGCGCTGGCCAAAATCTGTATTATGCGCCCTTAAATATCACCCGAATGTGGGAATGGTATTGTCCAGATGCTTCCCTATGGCCCTGGGGTCCAGGCTTTAGGGGATCAGGGGTTTAGGGTCTAGTTTAGGAATGTTTGGGGTTTAGGGGTTTACCTGGACCCCAAAACTAGGTAAAATAATTGCCCGAAACCCCTAAATATAGCCAAAAAGACAATTATTCTACATACTTTTGGGGTTCAGGTATGGTCTGTGGATTTAGGGGTTTGGGATTTAGGTTCAAGGATCCAACAAGGAGGCTACAGGGACCCGAAGCCATCGGGGCAGCGGCATTCGATACTCGAAGGCGGCCTGGAGCTATAACCTAAACTCCTAGTATCCCCCTTAAGAAGCCCTATAGTAGTCCCCTGTATAATCCTTATATAACCCCCTTTAAGGAGTTTAGATTATAGGTCATATATTTATATAAGAGTATACACATGTATATGTCCTTGGCCCGAGAGGTCCAAGTACCTAAATAGGATGTCATTGGCGTTTGACCGAAGCTCCGCTATAGATGCTTGGAGATCGTACATATAGGCACGGCTCGGTTGCTTCAAGGGGGTCACCCCAACACAGGCACGGCGCCCATCATACCTACAGTCACATAAAATCAACGTATTCTGCATATTTGCTTGAATCAAGGGCTCAAATCATCTCAACAACCTCTCTCACTCCCCAAATTGGACCCAAATCATATAATCCCTAAACCCTAAACCCTAAACCCTAACTATGTGGGTACTTGGACCCCTAGGGTGAGAGCTTCGGGACGATATGAGACGAGGCACCACGTAAGACTTCCAAGCACTTGTGGTCCTGCGATGGCGGGGATTCTGCATCCCTGGGGATCCAAGTCTGTATATATATATATATATGCATTTATCTGTATACATGTGTATATATATATATGTATATAATTATACATATATAGACGTATATAGGTTTAGGGTTTAGGGTATAACTAAAACCTACTCTGGGCTTGAAACTCGAAGCCTATGACAAGTACCTACTTGAGGCTGTTTGGGTCACAAGTGCACAAGAAGACCTAGACCTCTGAATATTTTTTTTGAGCACATGGCTCTGCGTACACCGTAAACTACACCGCAAGGGTGTCACAGGAGACCTATCGTGCTAGACAGGGTTACTGTAAGGGTTTAGGGGTTTAGGGCTTCGGGGTTTCAATACTTGCGGCTTCTGGCTGTTGTATCTCGAGGGTTTAAGATCCAACTACCATGGCGTCAGGTACCAAAACTCAAACCCAAAGGCTCCATGTAGCTATATCGTACATACTTGGGCCCTAAAGCAATGATCTGGGAACCCCTTTGGGGCCTAAGTATATACCATATACCTACATGGACCCTTTGGGATTGTGGATATGCCGCTGCAGTTCGTCTGTCGTTGGAGGCGGATGGTTGCCAACCAGGCTTTGATAAGCAAGAGTGTGTAAAT